ATGTCTAGTCTTAGAAAAAGGATCTAGAAGAGATACTTTTTCAAACTTTATTTTCCCAACATATATCAAGGTTATAACAGTTTCTAGTTGATTGGCATATGCCATTTCAGGGTGAGAACACAGGTTGAGCCATTAAAATCTCTAAACTCTATTGTGACATGAATTCAAGACAGTCATAATAGCCTATTAGGGTCTCAATTTACTATATGTCAACCTGGAAGCTGCAGTGAATCAAGCTAAATAAAGAGTATTAGGATCATAAAATAGAATTTGGGTTGATGTAATTAATATTGCAAAACTAACTTCCTGTGACCAGAGGCATTCTCAGTCACCACACTTTGGAAGGGTTCTCAGAAATCCAAGGTTTCCAACCTTTTTTTTCTAAGATGATGGTATTGCAGTATATTCACAATGAGGGCGAAAGGTCAACTGAGTTATAAAATGTTTTAATTTCTCACTTTAAAAAAATAGTCTTGCTCCCATGCATTAAGGTCAAAAATTTCCACAGTACCTTAAATCTATGCACTCTGAAAATTCTTTCAAAAATATTGGTTTTTCTGTAGTTCCACTTCAGATCTTCACTGTCTACTGATTGCCAACTAAAACAATAACATGGGAGTGGAAACTATCTCATGGAGACCATTCTGGGAGTCAACATTTAAAAAGAAAAGTTTCCAACTTCCTTAGGTTAAAAAAAAATGTTTCCACAATTTTAAAAACATTCTCATAATGTCTGAGTATTTGAAAGAACTTTACTTCAGGAGTAAGCCAGATACATGATTTCAGTTACTTTTTAGGCAATCTTTTTTTAAATATAGAACTCTCTCTACTTAATCACTGGAGATAAGGACACTAAAATCACTTTCAAACAGCAGTGTATCAACCATTAAAAATAAGACAACACCACTTTTCTTTGATAGCTTAATAAGCAAATTTGATTTCTTTATTTCTAAACATTCTCTAAGTTCCCACTTCCTGGCCCAGATACCTGATTTGTTACCTGGTGCTAGGAACCTTCCTCACTTTCTCACTTGTATCTGTTGCCCTTTTCTACCTTTCCTCTACCACCACCACCCTCCTGGAAGATGTCACCATTTCACAGCCTTTAATTGGCCTTCTGTTGTCTTCCTGTCCCTTCCCCATATAATGCTGGTGTTATTTAGTTTTTCAAAGGTCTAAATATCTGCTGCCCAAACAGATTGTAAATTCTTGAGGGCTGGAGTCACATCTCACACTTCTTTCTTCTCTTCTGTGCCACCTGAGCGAGAAGTTTTATTAACAGATGATTCCAGATTACTACTTCAAATTCTTAGTTCTGGACCTGGTAACTTTGTCTTTCAGAAATAAAAGTTATTTATCCTAAAAAATTATCAATACTGATCAATTCTGTTACTATTTTTAAAAATTCTATAAAAGACAGGTTTAGCCGGGCTTGGTAGCTTATGATTGTAATCCCAGTACTTTGGGAAGCTAAGGCAGGAGAATCGCCTTCCTGGGCAACATAATGAGACCTCATCTCTACAAAAAAATACAAAAATTAGCCAGGCATGGTGGTACATGCTTATAGTCCTGGCTACTTAACAAACTGAGGCGAAAGGCTCGCTTGAGCCCAGGAGGTCAAGACTGCGGTGAGCTGAGATCGTGCCACTGTACTCCAGCCTGGGCAACTGAGTGAGACCCTGCCTCCCTCCCCACTCTAAAAAAAGGAGGAGGAGGAGGAATGTTTAAATTCTAAAACCACACACAAAAAAGTTATTCAACTGGACTTCACTCTCTAGAACGAAAACTAGAACAAAAATTAATAAACAAAAATTTAAGTACAAAAACCCCATAAACTATGGGATGATGGTTGAAGCTTTTTTTTTTCTTTGAGTTGAGTCTTGCTACGTTGCCCATGTTGAACTCAAACTCCTGGGCTCAAGGGACTCTCCTGCCTCACTCTCTTGAGTATTTGGGACTGTAGGTGCATACTACCATGCCCAGCTGAATCTTAAAATACCAATAGCTGAAGCTTACCATTCATGCCCAGGGAACACACACTCTCCTTAAGAAGGCTAGCACCAGCGTGGGCATTTGTAATAGTTAGATTTTTATAGTAGGAAGTATCAAACATAAATTACCACACTAATATAGAAAGTAAAAATAAGTTAATGTAAACACAAACATCCATAGAATAACTTATTATTCATCCTCTATACTGAACAAGATACATGATGATTTTAATCAAAAACACTTAGGTAAACATTGGTATAAGAAAAACATGAATTTCTTATACTTCCTAATCCCAATATTATCAGTTCCAGGTTACTGTGCTACTACTGTAACATATTTGATTATTTTAAAGATGAGTTGCTTAAGACTAACGATATCTTACGTAAAACAAAACAATATCTTTTTCTTTTTCATGTGTTTCTTCCACAAATACTTTAATACATTATCAAAAAAAAGTCGTTGAAAAGATCAGGGATCTGAAAGTTACTTTTAGCTTTTAGAATCAAAGTTGATTTCATTATCTATCTGACCTTATCCTGTCAAAACCATCTAACCTACCTCTCCATAATTAGTCATGTTCTAGTCAGCTTCAACTAGAAGTATTTCTCCCACTGGTCCATTAAGTTCAAAGAAGATTTGGCAGGTAAGAAAGACAATTCTAACAAATTTATGTGCAAGAAAGAAGTTTGGGCAACAACTGAGAAACTGAGTAATGATGGTATGTCAGAGAAAGAATGCATGAACAAAGATAATGCTAAATATTGTAAAGGGGCACAAACTGGAGGTGCTCATTTATTCCTTGTTTTGCTTTTAAAACAAATAATAAAAATGCAGACTTTGGGCTAATCAACTTAAATACCTTGCCAAAGTATTTGTGTTAACACAGATAGAGCCCAAAGCTGGCTGCCAGCACCCCCAGGAGTCTGTAATTACAAACCAGCACGTAGAGACTCTTACTGTGACTACTTGGATTTGTTTTAACTATTAAGGAAGAAAAGCATTTAGAAATCTCTTTACCCAAATATTTCAGCAGATATTCCAATTTCAATGGTTAGAAACCTCAATTTTTACTCGAAGTTTCCCAGTGCAAAAACGAAAGGAAGTAGAAATTTTCCTTAGCTAAATCAAAATGATTCTAAATTCAAAATCAAGAACCAAGGAAACATTAACAAAATGTTAACTTTAGGTTAGTGGAGGTAGAATAATACTGCAGAATACAAAGAGGGCCTTCTTTTAACTCACTACCTAAATCAATAATGCAAAGATCTCCACAATGACATCTGTGGTAGGATGAGTAATGGTTCCCCAAATACATCTATGTTCTAACTCCCCATACTTGTGAATGTGTTGCCTTACATGGTAAAAGGGACCTTTGCAAACATGATTAAATTAAGGATCTCCAGTGGGGGAGGATATCTGTGATAGCCCAATGTAATCACAAGGGTCCTCAGCAAAAGGATCATTATTAGGAGTAGGAGATGTGACAAGGCAGCAAGAGGCTAGAATTATGTGAGGAAGGGCCCAAGCCCAGGAATGCAGGTGCCTCCAGGAGCTGAAAAAGGCAAGGAAACAGATTTTCCCTTCAGATCCTCCAAAAGGAACCAGCCCTGCCGACATCTTCATTTTAGCCCTGTGACACTCATTTCAGACATTTGACCTCCAGAGCTGTAAACTAACAAAGCTGTGTTTCCAACCTCTAAGAGTTTGCAGTACTTTGTTATGGCAATAACAAGCAATTATACAATATTTTATTACACTTTTAAGGATTGTGGAGTTTAATAGGTGTTATTACTATTAATTTCACTGAAGCTACAACAAATAATTGCACAAAAAAAAAAAAAAGGTTTAAAATCTCCAGATCTTTCCACACCACCCACCTCTAAGACCGGCACCTACACAGCTTTGGAGGAAAAAAAAAGATATGAGAGCAAAGGAAAAACATGATTTTATGTAAGATAAAGAAAGCCTTTAATTCCCAACTACTATGTAATGAGCCAGTGCAGGACTCAAAAGAACTTAGAAATGATGTGAAAGTTCTAAACAAGAGTGCAGTCATCAGTCTAACTGAGATAAATAAAAAGCTAAATGGCGTCCAAGATGTAAAAGTGAATGGGCTTATTTACACAAAAGGAACTGTTGGAAGAGTCACCATCCGGCAAGGTACACTTAGGTACTTTGAACTATATAATATATCAGTCTGAACTCTCAACTCCCATCTAACTTACAGAGGAAGGCAATCTTTAGAACTGCTTTATACCTTGGCTTTTCAGGCAATTATATTCTAGCTATATTTAATTTTCCATATGAGATGCCCTCCCTTTTATCTATGAGACAGGAGAAACACAATGCAATATTCGAAACTGTCAAAAACAAAAATGGCTCATTATCACATTTATAGTTTCTACATAGACTGTAGTCACTTCCTTCTATCAATAGGTGGTGAGCTTGTATATTCATTAGGCAAAATGCTGATAATTTACTAAAACTGAAGCATGAGCAGATTAAGGCAGTGAAAAGTGCTTTTCAAGCACTGTCAGATGAGCAGACCAGTGAAATTTGAGGAGACAAGAAGCTGGACTGCCTATAAACCACTACAAGATCTATTCTTCAAATTATCATAAACTATGGCCTTTAAGCTCTGTGTCAGCAATGACATCAAGCAACCTACTCAACTAAAGATGAGAGGGCAGGCAATGTTAGCAGTTTTCCTTTTCACTTTATTCTATATTTTATTCCTTATTATTTAAAAAGAACCTGTCAACCAAAATAATATAATTTTAAATATCACCCTCTTCTTTCTCCCCAGCCTAGTTCCAGCTAATATACTACATAAAAAATAAGTGTAGTTTGAAAGTTCATCAATTTCCAGGCTACTTTTTAAAATCCTAAATTTTCCTTACATTCACAAAACTGTCTGAATAGATAGAAACAGAGAGTTTCTTGCTTTAAGAACCTTGAAGGAAAAGCTCCTTTGATCCCACTTCGCATCCTCAGCACACACCCCTCACCTGCTATTTTAATATTCAGATTGGCGTCCAGAAGCAAATTTTCAGCTTTTAAATCACGATGGACAATGTTCCGACAGTGACAAAAATAGACGGCTGTGACGATCTGTTTGAACTTCCGACGGGCCTCTTTTTCTGCCATTCTACCATGGGCCACCAGGTGGTCTGTGTTGAAGAAGAACACAGTCAATTCTCATGTAGACATCGGTATAATTTCAAAAGGCAGACTTAAAGAGTGATGCAAAGGGACCCCCATAAAATGAATGAGTTAAAGTAGTGAAACAAATAAAAGGTGAACCTCACACTTACTGTCTTGGTTTATATCTGTAATAATTCATTAGTAATAAGTATCCAAACTATTTTAAGTATAAATGCTGTTATGCATAAGAATCCACTCGCACTAAGAAAAAAAAAGTTCTGAGGGTTACAATAGTATTTTCCAAGAATCATAAGACTCAATGCCTTGCTTTTCATAGCCTTATTGCAAAAGATGACACACACACTACAAACACACACATGAAGATAAGTATCAGAAATATTTCCTGTGTTAAAGGGTAAGTAAAAAAGCAGGGTCTCAATAATCAACCATTCTAGGAAAAAATAGACAGAAATTAGTCATTGCTAAGAGGGATAAATTACTTTATATAGTTCTCCACTTAGAGAAACATCTCTTCTGCTTTCTCAAAGTTCTCCAATTTGACATTAAAACACTTATTTGGTCACTGTTCTCTGGAATGCATAGAAATGTGCCTATATCTGTGTATCTGCATATGCTGGGTTTTCCAAATAGTTTTATCAACTATGTTAATTTTTACAGATAACATCAATAAAAAAAATTCCTACCAACTTGAATGAATTCATTTCATTGGCCATGTTGCTATCTAAGGTGAATCAAAAGATTGACATGTGATCTTGTAATGATCACATATATGATTTAGCAGTAGGTTTACACTGAATCAATGACATACATATCTTTGACCCAGTTCTTCGTCAAACCAACAACACATACAGGTCGTGGCAGCTGATGGGACTAGAAATTTTAATTATGATACAGTATGCTCTGTTTGAAATTTCTAATAATCTTCATCAGAACTGTTCTGTAATCAACTGGTCTAGCTGGGGAAAGGACATATTTGCCATCAAAAGCATCCTGAGAAGCATCCTGAGATAGTAAGAAAGGGTAAAATCAGACAGTATAGATAAATGTAATTGTTGTTTGTTTAACAGTAGTAGTTTTGGTAAGAATGCCCAATTGTTTTGGCAACATCTGAACTCATCTGCAGGACCAGTCATCACAAAAACGAAGTTCAGGGTCAAACATGGTTACTAGTAATAACTGCCCAATCTTAGAACTTGGGGCTAGAACAGCAAGGGAGAAGGGTATAAAGAATGGGAGCTGGATGACAACCTATCCACATAGCAGATTTTGAAACAATTCAAACCGCATTCTGAATATAAAATTGTGGAGTGCAAATACCATAGTAACATGTTCTAATACTTTGTCTAATTAAAGAGCTTTAAAGAGACTGCTATTCTTGAATAACATAAAAATAACATGTCTTAATGTAAATTATTAAGACAAACTCGCCAGGCTCGGTGGCTCAGCCTATAATCCCGCGCTTTGGGAGGTTGAGGTGAGTGGATTGCCTGAGCCCGCGGGTTTGAGACCCGCCTGGGCAACTTGGCGAGACCTCATCTCTACAATAAATCAAAAATTAGCCGGGCGTGGTAGCGCACACCTGTAGTTTCAGCTACTT